GTATACATTTAATTTTCCTGCACCTGAACCTTTTCATCTTTGCATTGGTTCATTAGTAATTCCTTTCATTGCTTCTGTTCCCTGAAAATCCTTTTCCTTCTCAAATAGATATGTGTAGCCTTGTTTTAGTTCACAGGTATATATGTATAAACACATGGATATGACACTAAATTTAACTCAAAAATTATTTCTTTGGATTGAAGTAGGTTATCATTCTAAGCCTTAGACTCTAAGGCTTGATCATTACCTATCTTGATCATTACCTTCCCCCAAAACATACATTAAATGATTTTATATTCCCTTGTTTATAATAGACTACACATATAATAGATTACAGATATATTGATTACACATATATTGATATTGAACCTCTATTTGCCTCCTAGGCCTAATTTTTGGTTAGCCCATTTTGATATGTACTGTTTCCTAATAAGGAAATTTAATATGGTATAACCAGGGTTACTTTTATTACAAACGTATTCTTTTTTCCACACTTATTTTAGTTATTTTGTCAATTTTGATAAAGTAACCCATTGGAATTATAAATGATACTGCTTAAATCCATAAATTGACTTGAATATTATTTTAATCTTCACCATTTCAGCTGTCTGCAGGAGAATATAACTTCCCATTTTTCACCCAAAGTCATATGATTACAGACTTGAGAGTTCAGATATCATTCAGTTTCTCGTTATAGGCCACCCTGTTCTGCACTTATGTAAAATGTTACAGATAACCAAACCAAGGACCCCAAACCTATATCTGGTAGGGAATAACTGAAAATAAGACCTATCTCATTTGGCACTTTTTCTATCACACCATTTAGTAAAGTCTTCATTCACTTCTTTTAATGATTTAAAACATTTACAGATGTTGGCGTGTCTCTGTGGTTTGGTTGAGCACCCAACTCTTCATTTCAGCTCAGGTAGTGATCTAAGGATCATGGGATCAAGCCCTGGGACAGACCCATGACAGGCCCACAACAGGCTCACGATAGGCCCCATGATAGGCCCCAGTTAGGCTACAAGGTCAGTGGGGAGTCTGTTTGAGATTCTTTCCCTCTGCCCTTTCCCCCACGCACACTCTTTCTTTAATATATAAAAAAATCTTAAAAAAAATAAAATGTTTACAGATGTTAGTTAGGTATATCCCAGTTAGCTAATTTCTAGGACTTTTCTAGATTGCCATAGAAAAAAATGGACATTGATAACTGAACTTTAGGCATATGGTTTCTTCAGTGGGGAGAAAAGGCACACAGTTTATTACATTTCCATTATACTTCCTAAATGTTTTGGAGGTGTTTTTTGTTTGTTTAGGGTTTTTTTTTTTGGTAGGGAAAAGCAAACTGGCTTTTGAGCTGACCTCCCATTTTCTGGATCACTCTTATCTTTTTAAGTATTTTATTCTGAATGATAGTTTCTTGTGTCTGCGGGGAAGTATGTTAGATACACAAAGAGATAAAGTTACAGAATCTTGCCTTTTCAAGAGATTCTCACAATCAAATTCCAAACACTACATATAGAGTACCAGTTTCATACAACAGAAAATCACAAATAACAACAGTTTAAAGAAAATATGGACTTGTCCATGTAATGAGAAATCTGAAGGTAGGCAGTCCATTATATTGGTTACACAGTATCATCAGAGACTCAGGCCAACTTCCTGACCCCAGCTGTGGATCTCATGATCATGTATATTGAAATATTGCTAGTGCTCTAGCCATCATGAGTAATTTTGGGGGCAAAGGAAGAACAATAGGCCAATGCTAACCAAGTCAGATCTTCCTTAACTGGTTTTCCAGGAAGCCCCCCAGTGATGTCTGCTTTTGTCATTGCCCAGCAAGGGAACTGGTGAGTGAAACATTTTAGCTAGGCATACTGCTACCCTCAATAAAATCAAAGATGTGTCTGTAAATAGAGAATGGCAGGACACCTGGGTTGCTCAGCAGTTCAGCGTCTGCCTTTGACTCAGGGCGTGATACTCGTCCAGGGATCCAATGGAATCCCACATTGGGCTCCCTGCGGGGAGCCTGCTTCTCCCTCTGCCTGTGTCTCTGCCTCTCCCTCTGTGTCTCTCATGAATACATAAATAAAATCTTAAAATAAAATCTTAAAAAATAAAATCTAAAAAAGAATGGACATTGAGCAGGCAGCTTGTAGTCTCTACCACTCAGCATATGTGGTAAAACATAAACAGGGGTTTTCTTTAGACTAAGACCATTTGGCTAATTGGAGATTGGCACATGGTCTTCATGGTTAAGCTGGACTTAGACAAATGGTGGTAGGCCATAACCCCAGTTTAAGGATAAGTAAACTGAGTATTTGACCAAGGCCATGCATTTTATAATATAAGATATCCCGAATTGGGTCATAAGCCAGACTCCATGCTTTTTCACAATGTCACAATGTTAAATTTATTTCTGGGGAATAAATTTACTTATTGAGATTGGGAGGGATGAAGATGAGCGAGATACACTTCTACCATTTCTTGATAGTTTCTAAAACTTAAACTTTAGGAGGACTTTATATGCTTTTCAACTAACTAGCAGTGTGACCACTGACAAGCTACTGAACCTCCCTGGATCTGAATCAAATACTAAAATAGTCGGACATTACAAGAAAAGAACACTACACAGACTGCTATTCCTCATGAACATGGATGCAAAAGCTCTAAACAAAATTTTTAATAAAATTAGATGAATAAAAATTTTAAAAACACAAACTATATTTTCTGATCCAGCATATGTATGTGTGAGTAGATGTCTATCTGAATCTTTATCCATAAATCCCAGATTCATTCTTTTATTTATTTATTGTAATTTTTGAAGATCTACCTAGCAGGTTCCCAACAGTGAGCTAAAATAAACACTAGACAATGTTAAAAGTGAATGAGCAAGGCTGAATCTTACAGTATTGGGCTAGGGGAGATTTAAAAAAACAAAAAGCTTCAAATGCTATTGTTCTTTTTAGAACAAAAGCTTCTAAATGCTGATGCATTTAGAGTAAAGCATACTCGAAATAGAACATCCAAGTTCTGCAGGAATAGATTGGAGGAGAGGAGATGCTTGGTACTAAATGTACCTTCCAGATGATATGTTATATATCATCTTTCAAGTGGAAAGTGTAAGAATTAGGAATTTTGGCACTGGGAGAGGACTACATGTGTGTATCTATCTATGTCTATATTAAGAAAATCTCAAGAACATCCTTCTGACTTCTCTTCTTGTTTTCTGCTTGGTGACACTTCCATTTAACTCTGCAAAAACAAAACAACAACAACAACAACAAAACCCAAAACAGTGTTTCCCTGGCTTTGGGAAACCGCACTTCTGATCCTGATTCCTACATTCTGGTTGGTTGTGTGATGTTGATAAACCACTAGCTACACTGGCCCCACTTTCCCCATGAACAATATAAGGTAAGTGGCCAGGCGATCTTGTAGGCACCTTCCAGCTCTAAACAAAATGGGTGGCCTAAGTAAGTGATCTCTGCCACTTGGATCCCAAGCACACTGCATGCTATTATGTTCATGTTATTTTAATAAGAATTCTAGGGATCCCTGGGTGGCGCAGCGGTTTGGCGCCTGCCTTTGGCCCAGGGCGCGATCCTGGAGACCCGGGATCGAATCCCACATCAGGCTCCCAGTGCATGGAGCCTGCTTCTCCCTCTGCCTGTGTCTCTGCCTCTCTCTCTCTGTGACTATCATAAGTAAATAAAAATTCAAAAAAAAATTTAAAAAAAAAAAAAAAAAAAAAAAAAAAAAAAAAAGAATTCTATACCTACAACCTTATAACATGGCATGCAGAACACTGGAAAAAATTGCATCACTGGAATCCAAAAAGAAGTTGATCACTTAACATTGCAGTGCTATAACATCTTTGATAATATTATTTACTCAAGAGAAAAGGAAGCACATACATGCAATGATTTGTACAGGAATGTTCCTAGCAGCTTTATTTCTAATAAGCAAATATTAGAAATAGGGCAGCCCAGGTGGCTCAGCGGTTTAGCACAGCCTTCAGCCCAGCGCAGGATCCTGGAGCCACGGGATCCAGTTCCACGTCCGGCTCCCTGCATGGAGCCTGCTTCTCCCTCTGCCTGTGTCTCTGCCTCTCTCTCTGTCTCTCATAAATAAATAAAATCTTTAAAAAAATGTGATAAATACATTGTGGTATATCCATAAATGGAATACTACTCAGCACGAACAAGGATTCCATTTACAAACAACTCAAGAAAATGCAGATTCATCATCTATAGTTACACAATATATACAATTCTAGCAAATGCAAACAAAGTATAAAACAGATCAGTGTTTGGGCTGGGGTGTGGGAAGTGTAGTGGGGAAGGGTGGAGAAGGGAAGGGCCAGGGGAGGCCAATTAGGAGTAGGAGCGGGAGACGGGTAGGAGGAGGTACTCCAGAGGGGGAGGAGCTGAATGGTGGCAGGACTTTGGAGGGTGGAGGCAGGAGTGCGAGAAGAGGGAAGAGAAAAGCAGAGGAAGGAGAGGCAGGGGGAGGCGGAGCGCGAGAGGGAGGAGGTGGGGAGCATGAGAGGAGGCAGGGCGCGCGAGGGAGGGGGTGGGGCGTGAGGGAGAGGGCGGGGCGTGAGGGAGAGGGCGGGCCCATGAGGAGGCGAGGTGCACGGGCGGAGGCGGGGCGTAAGGGAGGGGCGGGGCCTGAGGGAGAGGGCGGGCCCATGAGGAGGCGAGGTGCACGGGCGGAGGCGGGGCGTGAGGGAGGGGCGGGGCCTGAGGGAGAGGGCGGGGCCTGAGGGAGAGGGCGGGCCCATGAGGAGGCGAGGTGCACGGGCGGAGGCGGGGCGTGAGGGAGGGGCGGGGCCTGAGGGAGAGGGCGGGGCCTGAGGGAGAGGGCGGGCCCATGAGGAGACGAGGTGCACGGGTGGAGGCGCGGCGTGAAGGAGGAGGCGGGGCGTAAGGGAGGGGCGGGGCGTGAGAGAGGGCAGGCCCACGACGAGGCGAGGTGCAGGGCGGAGGCGGGGCGTGAAGGAGGAGGCGGGGCGCGGCGCGCGAGGGACGCCGTGCGTCGGCTCTGCGGGGCCCAGGCGCGCGGCGTCATGGCGCGCCTGCTCCGCGCCCTCCGGGGATTGCCCCTTGGCGAGGCGCTCCTGCGGGCGGTGGGGAGCCGCGCTGGTGGCGGCGGCTCAGCGGCCGGTCCCGGGGACGCAGGTAGGATGCGGGCGGCTCAAGGCCCGCCGCCCCCTGGCTTTCGGTTTCATTTCACCTGCGCGGACGAGGGCGACCTGGCGCTTCCTTCTCGAGAAGCTTCCTAGACGCGCCCGTGTCCGCCGCTCCTTGCCGTCCTGGACCCTTGTACATTTGGCGGGGTAGGGGTGGGCGTCACTGATTTTTGTTTTCCGCCGTCAAGTGTCGGCCCAGGAGCCCCTGAAGCTTCTCCCCGCCCCCGGTCAGCAGTCGCGGCGGTGGGGTCGGCGACCCGACGTGGTGCGCTCGGCCCTGGACCGGCCGGTGGTCTGTGCCGCCGTCCCCTTCCTTCTAAGAGTCTAAGTGCTGCTTTTCCCAGGTGAGAAGCACGCGGACCCAGGGAGACGCGTGGGCTAGTAACTCGTTCCCCTTCAGACCGGTAGTCATTGTTCCTCGGTGGCTCCCGGACACCCCAGTGAAAAGAGCGTGTGTATGTGTCTTCTCGAAATACCTTTGGCTCCTCTGTTGGATTGGGGCACATTCGCTTCACCTTTTAGTATGGAGTCACCTGTGGAGACCTGTGTCAGTGGCACTGTATTTCAGATATATTTCAGGTAGTAATTTAGTGCTCCCTGTGCTTTGGCTTCGTGGGCAACTGCCCAGCTGTCCCATCTCTGACTCTGATTGTGTTAGGTGTCCAGTGAAGAAATTTAAAAACACCTGTCTTCTCTGAAAATGTATCCGGTCACTTGGAATTTTTTTTTTTTTTTATCCCTTGAAGTTTCAAGATGTAGTTTTAAATAAAAGCACAGGCAATGTGGAGTAATGGCTGATCCAACATGACGTCCAGTCATGGCCTTCAGCACCTCTTGGTGTCTTAGCCAGTCTGATGATATTTGTTGCCTACCTACTGTGTGCCAAGCATTGGTTTTCTGAGAACCACAGGGGGTGAAAACATCCTACTTTTGGGCTGGAGGTCTCCTCATTCCCCTTAATAGGATAGTGGTTTCAATGGAAACTTGTCCTTTATGTGTGTACTGGTGTTGTCAGAAATAGCCTAATGAATTCCCTTAGGATCTGAAGTTTCCAGAAGCATTTAATATTTGGTCAGACTCCCGATACATAACAGGAGCTGTGTAACTTATCAGACACCCCCTCCCGGGAAATTATTCTAAGAAAGTAATTCAAAAGAACGAAGCTATGTGTACAAAGATGTTTTTGACAGCACTACTCCTAAGAACCAGAAACTGGCTATAACCCAAATGTCCATCAGTTAAGGAATGCTTAAATAAACCAGTAAAGTTCAATTCAGCAAACTATTAGGCACCCATTAAAATTTTATAGGCAGAAAGTAAAATAAAATTTTATAGGCAGGTAATAGCTTGGTGGTGAAGGGCTTTGGTGTTGACAGTGTCACATACTGGCTCTGTGTCTTTGGGCACATCCTGAACTTCGTAAGCTTAAATCTGTTTTTTTCTTCTATAGAATAAAGATAATGATAATAGTAGGGTTGTACAGAATAAATGAAAAAAAGTTAAAATGCTTTATCACAATGATTGGCACTTAGTAAGCACACAGTAAATGTTAATTATAATTACATAAATAAATGGAAAGGACAAAACAGTAGCTACGTTTAACCTATGTTATAGTCTTCGGGAAGATTGAGAGAAAAATGAGAAGATGTTGATAGTGATGGGGGACAGTTCCACAACACTGAGATTTCTGATACGCAAGAGGCACAGCCCCTATGATTTTGTTGTCAAGATTGACAAGAGCAAACCAAAAGAGGAAAGTAAGAAGTATCTGGAGAAAACTTGTTGCGGGAAAACATTCTGGAAATCCTCTGCTAGGAAACCATCTTGAGCATTGTTTAAACCAGTCCAGTCATTGGAGTGGGAAAGAAAGCTAGTCTGCAAATTAGAGTGGGCCTGGGGATTCTTTCTGGGCCAGTTTGTAAAAGATTCCCTTAGTCTCAAGTATCTATTGAAACGAGGCTCGCTTATGTGTGACACTTGGCAGTATAGTAGCTGTGGCCAGAAATGTTAGCAAAACCAGAAGGAGGTAACCAGTAGGTGACCATATGACCAAGAGAGGCTGTCCTTTAAAGATGAGAAGATGTAAGCCCACCTCATGAAACATGACCAACAAGAAAGACAGCCTCTGCAAATCACAGCACATGGAGAAAAATGAACCCAAAGGAAAATGAGTTTATCAAAGCATAGTTCAAAGTAAAGCTGTGTAGCTATCTAGTACAAGAGCAAGAACAACCAAGTCTTTTGATAGTGAAGATAGTAAGAGAATGCAGAGGGAATCTGAGAGACAACTCAAGGTGCAGATGATGCAGCTTTCCAGATTATATATGCCAATCTTAGTACCAAGAATCAGTTTTCCTCTTGGAAATCCATAGAAATAATACAAGATCTTTGCCAAAGCCAAGAACACAGGCAGAGTGACATGACAGGACAGGGACTTGAAGGATAGGGAAGGTATTTTGTCATGACGCTCTGTTACTCCTTTCCTTAACAGATGTTAGTGATTAGCCGGGGTTCAGATATACACATTCCCCTCAAGACCAGTTTAGATTCTGGGAGGAGGAATCAAATCCTACTAGTAAATCTTGCTCTTGCCTTAGTGGATATTTGAAGTGGCCTCTGTGTGACCAGTCTCACCTTGGGTCATGCTAACATGGCACTATCCAAATTTTGGATCTTGCCCTTTGTTGAAGGCTTGCAAAATAGACACATCTATTTGTCTATTTTGGTCTTTCAAACTGCCTAAAATGGAATGCCTTCCATTTCCCTTATGGTTCACACCCATTGAAACTAGTTCTAATTCCACTGCTTTTTTTTTTTTTTTTTTTTAAAGTAAGCTCCACACTGGGCATGGAGCCGAACTCAGGGCTTGAACTCATGACCCTGAGATTGAGACCTGAGCTGAGACAAAGAGTCTGATGGACTGAGCCACCTAGGCGCCCTCCCATTTGCTCTTAAAACAAAAAAAAAGCAGCTTTCCCTAACCCAGCCTGAAAAGATTTCACAATGTTTCCACCACTCAATTGGTGGTTAAGCTGGCATTGCTTTGTAAAACTCTTTCATTATTACCTTGAATAGTTATCTAAAGTGTGTATAGTCAATAAAATTTTCATAATTTAATTGGTCTTCCATATTTCCTCTACCCAAGGTCAAGAACAGCTGCACATCTCTCTCCTTTCTCTTCTAAATCACCAGTTTATCCTCTTCACTGGATCATTCCCAGCAGCATACTAGAACACTGTGATCTTTCCCATCCTAAAGAATGCTCCTGGCCTCACTTCCCTTCCACCTACCTCCAGAACTCCTGAAAGAACTTACGTATTCGCACTGGCTTCCTTTCCTTCCTCCTATTCTGTATCAAATACCTTCCAGTCAGATTCACATACACATTCCTCCACCTAAACTGCTTTTTCAGGGCACCAGTGACTGCCACATTGCTGAACCCTATGATTATTATTTTTTTTTTGAGCCCTATGATTATTAATTATCAGTCATCTCTGTCTAGCACACCACATTCTGGAGTTTCCTTCCGACTTCTCTGTCTCTTCAACCTGTGTATCTTGGAATGCCTCCAAATCCAGCCCTTGGGCCTCTCTGTTCTTTCAACAGTCACTGACTTGGGGATCTTCCAGGCTTTTGGCTTTAAATAACATCTTAACGCCAAGAAATCCCAAATATACATTTCCACCTTGGACTTCTCCGCAGTTTCTAAATCCATATATCCAACTGCCTACTTGACATCTCCATTTGAATATTGAACTGGCATTTTTATTAACAAGCCTCCAAACCTGTTCTTCGTATAGGCTTCCGCATCTTCTGCTCAGACCAAGACACTTAGAGTAGTGCCCTTTGACCGTATTCTTTCTCCTACTTCACATCAGCAAATCCTCTGGCTCTGCTATCAGAATACATCTGGTATGTGACTGCCCTGAGCTGGACCACTGCCACCACCCTAAACCCAGGTCTCTTCCTTTTCTTAGCCAGGTTGTTAAAGTATCCCCTGTAATCAAATCTTTTAGCGTATCAGCCAGTAAGCCTTTTAAATATTAGGTCATGTCATGCCTCTGCTTACCTTCTAATGACTTCCATACTCACTGAGAATAAAAGCCATCATCCTTATGATAGATTTAAAGACTTTCATTGATCTGCCTTCCCCTTCTGCCCTCCCTCCCATTAGCTTTCTACTCTTAGCAGATCCTAGAGAATGAGCAGATCCTAGAGTTATTTAGGAAGTAGAACCAACAGGGCTTGGTGCAGGGAAAAGGGAAGAGTCCCGCCTAGTGGCCTGGCATTCTGGTTTGAAGCATGGGGTCAATAAGCTAGAACACATGAGAGGAAGAGCATAGTTGAGTTGGGGGAGGGGAGATACATGAAGTCCTTTTGTGTATGGTGTTTGAAACGTGACATCCTTGGGAGATATCCAGGTGTAGTTATCTGTGGATCTGGAATTCAGTAGAGATCTAGGGTGGAGAGTAAAATAGATTGGGAGTCTCACCACGTGGATGGTACTGTAAGCTACTCACTGGATAAAATCACCCATGGGGCAAGTGTGATGTGGTGAGAGAAGTGAGCCTAGGATGGATAGATTCATCTGAAGGATACTAGTATTCCAGGGATGGCTAGAGGGAATGAATAGGCAGGGCTGAGGAAAGATATTGAAAGGGAATAACAGGAGAGATGAGAGTATTGGGTGCCACGGAAGCCAAAGGAAATAAAAGACACCATAGGAGAATGTCAAGTATCAGTAGTACGGAGAAGTGCCAGAGAAGGGTGAAGTGTTCTAGATTTTACTGAGAAGTCCTCAGTGGGCTCTCTGAGAATGGATGCAGTGCAGTGGGCAGGGAGGTGATGTGTCTTTGGTATTTCACACCGAGGCACGTGATGTCGGCTTGCCCCGCTGTTGGTGATGCTGACTTGGCTTACTTGGTTAACATGGTGACTTGTACATTTTTCCATTGTAAAGGTACATTTTCTTCCTTTGTAATTAATAATATTTTGAAAATGTGTGACCTTTCCATTCTTCAACAGTCTCTCACCCAGGATTTTAGAATCCCCTGATGATTCTTGCTTGAGTTGGTTATTATTTTAGTGATTGTAAAAATGGTGATATTTTTAAAAGTTTATCATTTCTTATCCACTTATTACTTGACATTCTGCATGATAACTCTGAAAGCTACTGAGCAGTAATAATTGTCACATAAATACATTTTGCTTAACTCCCCAAGAAATGAGATCCAGAAAAATTGTGTATACCTGGGCTATATTTTCATAGGAAAATTTCAGAGGTGTATTTCCAGAGTAAAAAAGAAATCCCCATAACCTTATAAAAAGTATTTTAGAGAGAACAATCTTTAATATATTTAACAGATTAAGAACCTTTTAATAAAAAAGAACCTTTTAATAAAATGTAAACAACCATAGCATTCAACAATATACAATACTGAAATCTATATTGTATAGTATTATGAGCTAGCAATGAAGATACAAGCCTTTTCTTATCTGAAAGATTATTTAGGATCTTCTATGGTAACCAAAAATGAATGATAATATGATATTCAGGCATGTTTCCTTTATGGTGGTGACAGTTTCCTATATGGTGGTGACACCACGGGTGTCTGACCTTTCATCTTTGTTGCTGTGGTCAGGTGACATAAGGCCCTGGGCCCCTATCTTCTCTTTTGTAAGTTGCGGTGAACAGCTTATAAAATCCTTTCAAATTATTAGTGTAGGATTATTGAAACATTGATTATATACATCAAGCTTCCTTCTCCCCTTTGGCTAAAAAGAGTCATCCTCATTACTTTGTTTATACTCCCTAGAGTAAAAGTGGTAAGATTGAAGCACAAGAGTAGGCTCTGGTAGGTCTCCGTTTCCTTTCAGGAGCATATGCTATAGGACTCTCTCCTTTTTTCCACACAAGAAGATTTTGTAATAAAGACTTCCATTGACAAACAAAATCAGAGAGATTTTTATAAACCAGCGAAGGAGAAGAGTTTAATAACCCACTAGCTCAAGGTTCTTTCCTCTCCAATCACTCGGCTACTCCCAGCTGATAGGAAATATTCCTCTCAACATAGTAATAGAAGGAGGATCAATTTCTCCCCCCGGGTACCTGAGAAGAATTTATTCTGCATTATTTCATTCTTCAGCTGCCTCTTTAGCTTCTGTGCCCCAGTGGGACTGGAATACTGGCTGTCGGCTTGCTACCCCTTTCTTGTTAAACTAGTGAGTCAATTGAAGCATTTTGTACAGGAGCTTTCTGGTTCCTGTGAAGAAGGAAGGAAGGCATGGGAGAGGGAAGGGGTGGCCTTGTTCTGCTGGGTGGCCAGGCACTGTAGGAGAAAGGATAAGGGAGAAATTTTTTTTGTTTTAATTTTTAAAATTTTCTATTTAACAACACAGGGTCTCTCACAAAGCATCAGCTGCCTCTTACCAAGAGTGAATGGCAAAAGAAGCTGACTCCAGAGCAATTCTATGTTACAAGAGAAAAAGGAACAGAACCAGTAAGCTGCACTGATGATAATTTGGTTGATTGCATGGGTTGGGATAAATACTACTGAGCCCAACTCACCCACATCCTGCTCTGCCAGTCTGGTCCTCCTTGTGCTTCTCCCTCCTGGGCATCGCTGTCCATCCATCTGTAGGATGACCTGGATGCATCCATCCCCTCTGTCGCCTTGCCCACCTCTTCTGTGTACCGTAACTGCAGGTGCTCTCCTTCTGTCTCCGCCCTCGCCTCCTGGTGCCCCAATGACCCCCGCCTCTTGTGGGTGCACAGTGGTGGGCAGCAGCCTCTGGCTCTTCTGGCTGCCTTTCTCCACAAGGCTGCCAGAGAGATCTTAAAGCACAAATCCACCAGCATCCCTCCCCTGCTAACAATCCTTCAGTGGCTTCCCGCTGCTTCCAAGGTAAAGAGGAAAGTTGACAAACGGTTAATTAGGCCCTACAGGCTCTGCCCCCTGCCTCCTGCCCCTGCCCTCATTCTGGCTGTTTTTCCTCTTCATCTCTGCACTTGGACCACACTGTCCTTCCTTTAGCTCTCAGACCACCTGGCCTCCCTTCTCCCTGAGGCCCCCACCCATGTCCTTCTTCTCCCCTCTCCCCTCATCCTGTTCATTCAGACCCACCTCTCAACCCCTATCCATGTGCTCAGGCCCCAAAGCAGGTTGCTCTCCCGAGTGCTTTCCCTTCTGACCAGTTGCTGTGGTTGAGATAGCCCTGGCCCGGAACATGGTGCCTGACTAAAGTCCACACTCAGGGAGAAAATACTGAACAAGAGAGCAGGGTAAGAGGTGCAAACATTATTTGAACAGGATTCACTAAGCTCAGCATTTGTTCATTTGCTGAGAGAATTGTCCTCAGGATAGTACTGTTTCCCCAGCACAGCATTTCTTAACAAATATTTGTCTTAGACCCAAATATAACCCCTGAAATAGAGCTGTTGAATATGGTTATTAGACATTTTCTTTGGCAAACTGGACCCTATAGAATGGACCGTGGTGGTTTTGCAAAGTTGAGAGTATTTCTCTCTTTTCTTTAGCAGCCCCTGTGAAGTTGAGACAGCTGTCTACGTGCACATGGCCTTGTATAATCATGGTGTGCCCTCAACTTCTCTGATGCTAAAATTGTCAGGCAAGCAGATCCCAGTCGATTCTTATACAGTACTGGTATTTTTTTAAAACTTCCTGTGGATGGGATTTTAATAATCTTTTATGAGGAAAGAGACACAGTCATTATTGCAGATAGTTTGGGGGAGCCACATGTGATGCTCTCTGTGCAATTGGGTGTATCCCAGAATATTCTAAGCCAGCCCTTTCTCAGGGACAGAGCCAGGCAGTGTTTGGTATACATACATTGCCTGGAGATGAGCTGACAGATGTTGAGGAGAATAAATCTGTGGGATTCTCAAACAGATGGTGTGGTATACTCTGTGCATTTGGCCATTTTACAAAATGAGTATCATCCATTATTTTAAGTAATGTTATAAATCCCTTTCAGTTGATCTGTTTCCACGTGTAACTTTTTAGAATATTGCAGAACTAACTATAAGCCTTGCTAAGGAAAGAGAAGTAACGCGTCTCAGGTTTCAATTTGGTAACTCCAACTTAAAAATTCAGTTGCATGTGTTTTTATCAGGCAGCAATAAAAACATGCACTCCACGAGACACAATAAAGGAGTTTAAAGCCTAGTTGTGCAACGACTAAAAGTTAAATATCAATAGAAGGCGAGTTGTCTGCACGTCTCTTCCTCTGTATGCCCTACAGATCCACTCTCCATGTGCTTCACTCTGTTCTGAGCTCTGGGGAGAATAATATACTCCCTTCACTTTTGACTACTGCTCAGGTTTAGCCAGCAGATGATGCCTGCAAGGTCAGAGGACACAACAGAGAAGTCAGGATCCAGGGTTCTCTAGTACAGGCCTTAGCTCCTGCAGGCTGCTCTCACCCACAGGCTCTGGTGACTGTCCCTTCCTTTGCCCCACAGGCCTGGTAGGGGTGGCGTGATCACAGAGCCGCTCACCCTCTCAGTGCTTCACCTTCCCTGAAGACTGGGCCTGGCCCCCCCTTTGTAAATTATTCTGTATGAAATTATCTGCAGTATCCTTTTGAGTGTGCCATCTGTTTCCAACAGGTATGTTGTATGGACAGGATCAAGGAAGGGAGACATTCCATTGGTCCAGGCAGTCTGTCTGTAGCAGAATACCACATCCTGAGGGCCTTACACCACATTGATTTCTCACAGTTCTGGAGGCTGGGAAGTCCCAGATTCAGGTGCCTGCCAGTTCAGTCCCTGGTTTTTCCTGTAGTCTCTGTAACCTTAGCACCCAGCCCTGCACTGAGTACATACTAGGTTTTCAAGGGCATATCAGAATGAATGATTGAGGTAGGAGCTGAGTTTGGCTTTAAATTAATGCTAAGACTTCTACAGAATTGAGGCAGGAGGAGGGAGACATCAGGAAGTCAGTCTGGGAAGCAGTGGATAGGCGTCACTTCATAAAATGTGTCAGTTAAGGATTCCTTTTAATTTACTTTTTTTTTTTACTGTGATACCTGTTGCCTGTCACTTCCTCTGTTCACCTGTCCCCTGCAATGACAAAATGACATTTTGAATTTTATCAGACTGTCTGGATGCTGTGAGTCAGCTTTCCAGATCAGCTGAAGGACTGGTAGTCCTTTGGCATGTGTGTCCTGTCAGCTCAGGTGGGAGGGATGTGAAACTTCATTGCAGATGCTGGTTTATGCCAAGGTTGGGAGCTGGCATCCAGGAGCACAGGCCATAAAAAGACCAGCTTACCACTCTTCAGATTTCTGCAGCTAAGTTTAGAGTCTTTAAAGAGGGAAAATGTCCAAGTGTGCCCAGATGGTAGGCTCAGTGGGTTATTTTGAAATTGTCCATTATGCGGCTCACTGAAAATGTGCTGTTAATACTACCACAGGGAATCTGAATGTTTGACCTGTGAATTTGTTGATTTGAGAAATCTAGAAAGGGCAGAAGAGTCCAGCTTATTTCCTAAGTCAGTTCTGGGTCACCCATTCTGTGCCGTGGCTTCCCTTTGACCCATAAGATGGGGTAGCGCTTGCCACCAGACTCTGGTTATGGTTCTTCAGTGGTTGGCCTGTGTGAGAGGGCTGATTGTTTTTCTTTTAATTTACTTTAACAAAAGGAACTGGGTAAAAAGGTCGTTGTTTCTTTTTCTAACAATGAGATCCAGTTTTCAAAATAACATTTTGAAAAATACTGACTTGGCTGACTCATTGTCTCACGTCCCCTGTGTTCTTCTTGGGAGACCTTTGAAAGCCTGCAAACTCTTTAAGCCACAGTTAATGAAGTAATTTCATCTAAGTAGTAACTTAGTACTGGGATAATCTAACTCATTATTTAAACATTTATTAAGTATGCCATGTCCTAAGCACCACGTGAGGCATATTAAAGGCACAACCAAGAGCCCACAGAGCTATGCTTTTCCTGTATTTATATTCTGTCTTTAATTGAAGATTTCACAGTGTTTTAGACAGTGGACTGGATTTGTATTGTATTAACTCTTTTGAAAGGAAGTCTGAAATTTTACACAATCCAGAAGACTGTTCTCTCACTTTTTCACAGACTTTGATGTTCTTGGATGAAAGGTGCTATATAAATACAAAGCATTATTAATGTCATAATTTGAATATTTGGCACAATACAGGCCAGTTGTGATAAGCCTACAGGCTGCTTCATTGGGCAGGTTATAATCTTTCCGGTGATATTTGCACTTTGTCAAATTAGTACAAAAATTCCTTTATTTGAGGACTGAATCTTGGACTTAAATTTGTTGTATCATCTCCTGCTGGTCTTATGAGAACCCTACACGTAATCTATCTGATTCACTTTCAGCCTTTCAGTGGGGTCTATCTGAATAACAAGGAATCAGGAATGTATCACTGTGTGTGCTGTGACAGCCCACTCTTCAGGTAAGGATCGGGAGGTACCGAGGGAGAACAGACCTCCAGATTTCTTACAGCTCTGTCTCGTTTGAAGCCTTGCATAAATACATACCCATGTTGTTTTTAATTGCCCTCCTCATTTGGCATAGTTGCTATAAGAAGAGCTATTTATATAAAATACTTGCCTGTCTTGATTATTTCTAGCATTTAGAACAGTTAATGAGACTTCTGAGCCTATATTCTTTCTTTCTGTATCCCCGAGAAATAGCAAACAAATAAAACTTTGTAGGCACCTTAAGATAATGCTATTAGAATATTTTCCTGGAAAGTATTTAAAGAAATCTAAACCATAATAGTATTTAGTTGGCCATGTGATTAAAACTATATCTCTCCCAGGGAAAATGGGTTTATAATTTAATTTGGCAAATGTAGAATTTTATGAGGATAGATTCCCCAGTGCTTGACAGTAGTGAATACCATGCCCTCTTCTATATAGCTAAAAGTAAATTTAATTGTCTCTTGATTTCAAAGCCTCTTTTAAGTCAATCAGGATCTGAAATCTCTCAACAAAGGCTTTTTTGTTTAGACATGCAGGAAACAGTCTAAAAAAAGTAGATTCGATGAAGAAGAAAGGAAAACATCTTTGAAGTCCTGTTTTCAGAACTTCAAAGATATTTTCCTTTCTTCTGCATCAACCCTAAATTGGTTTAGAATAAAATATAAATCAAGCCAGCTCTGTGAATCTTCCATTAGGCAGTGCTTCATTATGTCCTCTGGGCTTTGAGCAGACTGGGCTTTCTTGGGCTGCTGGCTGCTAATGTGGGCTGAATTTGGAAAGCCAGACCCCGCCTGCAAGGATGAGGAACAATTAGGATTGATTTCCCTTCATGCTTATGAAAGGGCAGGCCTTTGCCCAGATTCATTCACTTTGTCAATGGCTGAGGAAGAGACATCTAAGATAGCAGTCGGCCTAGGATGTCCTGGAGAAAACTGAGAGAAAGAGGTTAATTTTAACACAGTAAAATGTGGGACACATACTTCTGAGACATTTGGTTCCTTGACATTTGGTTCTATTAAGGAGGAGAAATTGGACCTCAAGATAGCCAACCTGTTTTTAGTCAAAAAAGGTGTATGGTGTGAAGATGTAAAGGACTGCCTTGTTAAACTGTGGGTCTGTTTCTATCTTTGGACTGTGAAGGCTGAGGATAAAAAGTCATCCTTGTAAGAGCGTTGTCTACTTTACATTCTTCATCGTTTTACTTCATTGGTGTTGTTATTTCTGCACTAGCAAAGTTGAGATCTTTTCTTGCCCAGTGCCCACCATCCCCTTACCACAGCAGCGTATCATTTAATCACAGAATGTTGGAACTTTGGTAGGAATTTCTACCATCATGGTAATGTTCTATATCTGCTCTTTCAATATGGTAGCCACATGTGGCTCTTGAGCATTCAAAACGTTGCTTGAAGATAAGTTTTAAATTTTATTTAATTTTAATTAATTTAAACCTAAAAGCCCAAGTGTGACCAGTGGCTACCATATTAGCACAGTGCTAGTCCAAATTAAGAAAATTGAGTGATCAATCTCAGGTCACTGAGATAGTGAAGCAGCCAAGACTAACAGGAGAACCAGCCAATTCTCCAAAAGCCCAATTACCAAAGGCTGGTATGCTGAGCTGCCAGTTCACCAACCTTATCTGTTTCTTCTTTAATCATTTAGTTTTAGTTTTAATCAAAAGTTTCTCTTTTCTTAGGGACTTTGGAGTAAGTTTCTGTTTCATTTTCTGGCTGTTGCTGCTATAACTGACACTAGGAGAAGACTATTTATAAGAATCTTTTATGTCCCAGAATATACTCTTATTAGAGATGTATTTGTTTATAGGAGTAGTAGTATAGTAGAGTGGCTCCATTGCTGTGTGACCTTGGGCAAATCTCTTAACCAGTTCATGCTTTGATTTCCTCACCTGTAATGTGGTAGCATGAGAGTAATACCGACTTCAGAAAGTTGTTGAGAGGATTAACTGAGTTAAGAGGTATGCATGTAAAAGCACCAGTGCAATGCCTGGCACATGCCAAGCATTCAGTACATGTTAGCAATGATTATTCTTAGAGATAAATCCTTCTTTGGGCTATATATATGGATAAATTTTTGTTAATGAGGAATTCTTATGAGTATGTTCTAATTAATGAGAATCTGTAAGTGGAAATTATATTCCTAAGCATGCTTCCCATTCAAAAGGATAGTCTTAGGAATATATTCTTGTTTTGCCTCTCATTCTCCCCCTCTCTCTGGCTGTCCCTAGTCTCCAGCCTTAATAATAGCAAGGCAGGGGTGGAGAAAAAGCAAACATTCCTTCAAATGCTTTTATAGATAGAGTCAAAATGAGGGGAAAAGTTGGTCAACCAAGAGTCAGGTAGATGTGGGACCAGTGTCTCTGGGCAGTTGGACTCACTGCTGCCTGTAATACTGCCTTCACAGACCACCAATATGGTGCATGTTCCAGGAGACCTGCCTCCTCTTCAAATCAGATGCCTCTGATCCAAGGTCTCCGGGTCAAGAACACTCTTAGAATGTTATCACTCCCCTGGGGATGCAAGACTGTTGCTTTATTAACCTTGGAATCATGTGACTTTGCCCCTGCTTCCCTCCCCTCCCCTACTTCTTGTGTTTCCCTTTTTTCTCCTTGCCCACATATACCAATTCTGGAAGTGTTTAATAAAATCTGCCATGGGGCCACATACTTCATGCTCCTACATTTCCTTAGAATAGAGGGAATCTCAGAAGCTGATATTATTTGCCTTTTTACATTACATCTGGATGTCCCACATGTAATAAGTAACTAAGTAAGTAACACTGGTTAAAACTGTTTTGTGTGTTCCCATTCCTCCAAATGAATGGAAATTCTCCTAGGATGTTAGAGTTGTCAGTTCTCATCAAGTGGCTCTGCTGTTGGTTTGAGGACTATGGAATTTCCAAAAATGAAGGAAAACCAAAGCAAATAAACATAAAACAAACATGTAAACATATAATACACAAACACATAACAAAAAAAGAAAACTAAAAAAACACCTCTAAGTGTATATGAAAAGAGATGATCTAGTATGGTTTTAGTTTTTCAAGGGAGAGCCTTACAATCTGCCCATCATTTTAAATATGTATATTGGAACTTCAAATTGGCCTTAAAGTTAGATTTCCACTCTTAAATTATATATGATGGGCCTCTCGTATTACCTGGTAAAATTTCCAGATTCTGTATATTCTATCAGTAAAGATTTATTGTTTCCCATAAACATTTTAAATGACTTTTTTAGTCTTAGATTCATTCATTAAAAAATGTATTATGTTCGTAATTCTCCACCAAAATGCCTTTAATGATCTCTGGTTTACATGTAATGTTAAGAGTGGAAAGGCTGTGATTAAAAGATACTTAAAATGTTTTTCCCTGGGCCAGGGTGGCTCGGGTGTATAGTTTTGAACCCTTCAAAAAAGGCTTGCAAAAAAATTGGACACACAGCTGCTCAAATTTCATGGATATCTGTTATTGATAGTAATGATTTTTAAAAATCGTAGCTACTGACTTACATACCATGTGTCTAACACTCTGCTAAATACACTATACTTTGAAAGCATGTCAGGTAATCCTCTCAGCAACCTTATGAGGTAATAAGACCATTACTGTTCTATCCAGTAGGGCACTGAAGCTTTAAAAGATGAACTAACTTGCCAAGATCACACAGATGTAACAGAGCCTGGATTCATGCCTAAATCTTTCAGAAGTCAGGGCCTTTACTCCTCAAAGTTCTAAAATCCTGGTGAATCTGAATACTCCAGGAGCGCTCCAGGAGTTCCTTTTTAGGGAATCTACAAGGTCCTGTCTTTTCTAACTGCATATCCATGAGGCCACATCCTCTTCCTATATGTCAATCAAAATAACATTGTACCAAATTGAATACAGAAACACATATGAAGAGTCAATGGTCTTTTTTAAGCTACATACTAAAGAGATTTGCAGAATTGTAAGACACTATAACTCTTGTCAGTAGATGTTTCATTATAGAATATACAATTATCTGTCAGAAAAAATAGACTATTTATGTTACCAGGTAATTAATTTATTATTTTTAAAAATAACTTACATATAAATATTTTAAAATTATTATAGTTTCTAATTTGTTAAACAGGGATACATGTAATTCATGTAAAGAAAAGAGATCCTCAGGAATTTTTTAGTATAAAGCAGCCCTGAGATGAAAATGTTTGAGAATGACTTGCATTCACACAAGACTATTTCTGCTGGAGTCTGTGCTTTAAACTGAGCTTCCTTCTGTGTTCACAGTCTAGAGATTTATTTGCCATTTGTCCTGCTCTTCACTTAGCTTTTTGGTATTTGGGGTTTTTTTTGTTTGGGGTTTTGGTTTTGGTTATTTGGTTTTTTTTTTTTTTTTCAGAGTTTATAATACATTCTTCTCCCTTAGAGAAGAGTCATCTCTTCTTCCTTAGAAGAGAGCCATCTCCCTGCTATTAAAAAACTTTCACTCTATTTTCCTAGTGCCATTAAAGGGGGCTCACCTTTCAAAGCACTTGAAGAGTGGGTCTGTGGTGAGTGGACTTGCTTGTTGCCCTCTCACTCCTCTGGTCAGGCCCTCTGGCCCTCTCCCACATCAGCATTACTAGTTCTTATGGGCCTCGCCCAGGAGGGTCACTTCACTGCAGTGACTGGCTCAGGTGTCCAGGCTTCCTTACTAATTATTACAGTGTACATTCATAAGCACTTACTTGTGCCCCACAGAATATCTCTGTAAATCCTCAAGATATCTCTAACATAAGTAATGTTATCCCTATGCTACAGGTGAGGCCTGGAGCAGGTATGTAACCTGCCCAGTGTCACCCAGCTAAGAAATGGCAGAGGCAGCTTTGGAATCTGCAGGCAGGCAGGTAACCCGAAGATCCCACTGCTGACAGTGGGCATTTCATCAGGCCTCATGCTGCTGGTCCCAGACCCTCATGCCCTCTGTGACCATGAGTGTCTCATTTCCGCTTCCTCCTTTTCTACATTTAGAGCCCTTGGATTTGATCTGCGTTTCCTAATATGCATCACAGGTCACAAAGCCCCTAGTGTTTTTTGGTCCCTGTTGGACATCGAGAGAGAACCCTTCAGCATCAAAGGAACAAGAGATCCTTTGACGATGATGAGACGTGTTTAATAGTGAAAGTGCAGTGGGCTGAGTTCCCGTGGAACTGATTGCTTATGTAACTGGCCTTGGGATCTGGCAGGGGAGAGAGGAGCTCAGACCCTGCTCAGTAGAAAAATGAGTTGGGGCATAAAATGCTCTTTGTCTGTTAATAACATCTTAGCAGCTGCAGGATGGTGAATGTCTTCACAGTTCCGAGAAAAAGTACTGCTCCGGCACTGGATGGCCTGCATTTTCGGAGGCACACGGGACATCTGGCTCTGATGAAAGGGACACAGGGATCCTGAGACGTGTGGACACCTCATTAGGATTAACTCGCACCGAGGTTGTCTGCAAGCAGGTGGGGGTTTTGTTTTATTTTGTCTGTTTGGTTTTCCCCGATGCTGCCCAGCCTGGGTACCACAGAGAGCATACGTGGTAGTACAACATGGGTGTACTTTTGTCACTGAAACACATTGAGTTTCTATGCTTTCTGCTTCTGATCCCCTCTCCCATGGTTCTGGGCCGTGCAGGGAAGAGAAAGAACCTTCCTGAGCCACTCTGAAGTAGCCTTTCCTCATTCTAGCCTTCCAGAGATGGGGCAGAGTGAGGGTCTGAAAGGAGTTGGCCCTTCACATTCTTTTGAACAGGGAGAGGCTGCAGGATGGCCCCGTGTGCTTGGCTTCTCTCCACGTCCTTCCCACTCTGCAGTGTGTCACTAGCAGAGTGATACTGCAGGCGACATCACGCTGTTCCTGCTGTGGCTCTGGTAGGAGATAGTGCTTTAAATCCAGACAACAGGTTCACTTTTATATTCTTGGGTACTCACTTTTTTAGTTTTTGAAAACATCAGAGGCAGCAGATAAGTATAGCAAAGTCTTATCATCAGCAAAAATAGTACACTGGCTGCAACATTATTGAGTGCTTACCTAGGAATTAAATATATATTTTTAAGATTTTATTTATTTATTCATGAGAAAGACAGAGGGAGAGAGATAGAGACACAGGCAGAGAGAAAAGCAGGCTCCATGCCAGAAGCACGATGTGGGACTCGATCCCCAGACTCTGGGATCACACCCTGAGCCAAAGGCAGACACTCAACCGCTGAGCCACCCAGGCGTCCCCTAGGAATTGTATTAATGTTTTACATGTACTGTATCAATTAATCATCACAACAGCTTTATTAAGTAGGTATAATTATTAGTCCCCATTTTATAGATGAGTAAATCAAGGCCTGAGTTAACTTCATCTTCTCGCTGATAGCTGTTTACCACTACTGCACTCTGCATTCTTTGATTTCCTTTTTTTAAAAGATTTATTTATTTATTTGAAAGAGAGAGAGTTCACACGTTCATGACTGTGGGAGTGAGGAGAGGGGCAGAGGGAAAGATTCCCAAGCAGACTCCCCACTGAGCATAGAGCCTGACCTGGAGCTTCATCTCGTGACCCATGAGATCATGACCTGAGCCAAAACCAAGAGTTGGACACTCGATTGATTGAGCCACCCGGACACCCCTATATTCTTTCATTTCCTATGTGCATTCTGATGCGATGGACTTTTTTCCCACACAGGTGTCTAACACTGGAATGGGGTGGCCATGTGGGGTTCACCTGTCTAGTTTTACATAAAGAACTTTGTCTTAGTGAAGAAATGACAGGGGTTTCTCTCCTTTGCAGTGTGAAGCCCACCTTGGCCATGTGTTTCCTGATGGACCTGGGCCTAGTGGTCAGAGGTTTTGCATTAACAGTGTGGCACTGAAGTTCAAACCAAGGAAACACTGACTATCTCCAAGGGACCCCTTCCCCTGCCGCTGCTCCATTTATACCCTCAATTTTCACAGTTTATGTTAATGCCTTATTTTATTTACTACCAAACCAAGCAAAGTTTGCTTCTGGCATCAAGCAAGTTCCAACTTCTATAACTGATTTACCTGGAATCAACCCAACCCTGACTCTAGCTTGGATGGTGAAATTTCACAGAATGTCAGAGGGGCAGCCTTTTCCATCTGGTTGACTTCTGTAGGCTTTGCCTGGGATGGGAGGGCAAGATTCTTTGAGGACATTAAGAAACTGATGGACTACAATCCAAAAAATTTCTACAAAAGTACCCTGAATTTTCCACTGCAGGTAAGTCCTTTGTGGACATATGTAGGTGAGGGATCAAGTGAAAAGATGAAGGAAATGCAGATTAATCAACCATCCCAGCATTGAAAGAAGTACCGAGGACGGAGATTGTGGAAGAACAGTGTTTGGGAGGCACACGTGGTGATTGATGGGATGCATGAATCTTTTTCAGAATTTTAGAATGTCTTGAACATTCTGGTTTCATCCTTTCTACCGGCAAATAAGTTCCAATAAGAGTTTGCTAGATTTCAATGACAAAAGAATAAAAAGTGGTTACAAAGTTAAGCTTTAACATGTTCAAATAAAATATTTACCAAAATTTTATATTTGTTTTTTGTCTAAGCCTATGAGTTTGCTCTTTTGGAAAACAACTCTAAATCAGATACCAGAAAATTTTTGATTACATGGTAGAAGGCATTTGGTTACACCAACAGTAATAGGAACTCAATTGTTTTACAGATTGAGAGTTTTGAATAATTTGCTATTGAAAGTGTTTAAATTATTTGAGACATTACAGGCAGAAAAAGTTATTTCATTTTTTCTCCTTATTAGCTTGTAATGCATTATCCAGCTCTTCTTTTAGTGGTTACCTTGGAAATCACAATATGTATCCTTAATTTGTCACAGTCATATAAAAATTACTTTTTGTTACTTCTTCAAGAATGCTAACCTTAGAACACTTTAACCCCATTAACACCCTTCCATATTTTGTGTTACTATCCTGTGTATGTAATTTTACAAACATTTTAACCCCCACAAGTCATTATTAATTTATTTATCCATATTTATTTATATTTACCTACATATTTGTCCTTTCTGTTCTCCCTTATTTCTTACCGAAATCCCATATTTCCTTGTGGGATTATTTTTTTCTGCTTAAAGAATTCCTTTTCGTTTTAGTTCATGATTCCTAGTGGTGGACCTTCTATTTTTTGTTGACTGAGACATGTATTTATTCTCCTTTAAAATATTTAAAACTTTACTGAGGAGAAGTTGACATACAAAACTATTACACATCTTTAATCTATAAATTTTGATGAGTTTTGTCTCCTTTCATTTTGGAAATATTCTTTTCCTTGTGTATAGAGTTCTAATTTTAAGATAATTCAGCATTTTTAAAGTTTTGTTCCATTGTCTTATGGCATCCATTGTTTTCTCTGAGAAATCAGTTGTTAGTGCTATTGTTGTTCCTTTGAAAACAGTGTGTTCTCCTCCCCAACCCTAGCTGTTTTTATGAATTTCTCCTTTTCTTTGATTTTCCGCAGTTTATGTTGTGCCCTGGGGTGGTTTTCTTTGTATTTTTTGTGCTTGGGGTTCATTGAGTTCTTTGAATCTTAGCTTGATACTTTCATCAGTTTTGGAAAATTCAATTTTTCTCTCTTCACTGTTGCTTTTTCCCTGACCTCACTCCTGTTCTTCTGGAACTTGAATCATACAAATTTTAGACCATTTAATGCATCCCACATATCTCTAAGGTTCTTTTCTGGATTTTCCCATTCTTTTAAATTTCTGTACTTCAGTTTGGATATTTTTTGTCAATGTGCTCTCTTACCAGTCTTATCCTTTTGCTTTCTACTCTGCTTTTATTTATTAGTTTATTTATTTTTATTTGTTTATTTGTGTGAGAGAGCCTGTGAGCTGGGGCGGCAGGGGGCGGGGGGAGTGAGGGACAGAGGGAGAGAAAGAATCCCAAGCAGACTCCCCATTGAGTGTGGAGCCTGACATGGGGCTTTATTCTAGGACCCCAAGATCATGACCTGAGCCAAAAATCAAGAGTCAGACACTTAACTGAGTGAGCCACTAGGGCCCTGTCTGCTTTTAAGCACATTTACAAGGTCTTAATTTTAAGTGTTGCATCTTTTTTAGTCATAAAATAACAAATTTCTTGTTTATGCATTCCAATTCTCTATTGAAGTTCTCCATCTTCAAGAGAGAAAATTAGGTGTATTCCCCCTCATGTTTTTAATTTTTGCTCTTGAACATATTTTTTTTTTTTTTTTTTTTTTTTTTTTTTTTTTTTTTTTTTTATAAATTAATTTTTATTGGTGTTCAATTTACCAACATACAGAATAACACCCAGTGCTCATCCCGTCAAGTGTACCCCCCAGTGCCCGTCACCCATTCACCCCCACCCCCCACCCTCCTCCCCCTCCACCACCCCTAGTTCATTTCCCAGAGTTAGAAGTCTTTATGTTCTGTCTCCCTTTCTGATATTTCTCACACATTTCTTCTCCCTTCCCTTATATTCCCTTTCGCTATTATTCATATTCCCCAAATGAATGAGAACATACACCGTTTGTCCTTCTCCGGTTACTGTGGCCAAGTTCAAAAAGGGTGTTGCCTGAGTTCTCCTCTGGGATTTTGATGGAATCTTGTCTCACATTTAGATCTTTCATCTATTTTGAGTTTATCTTTGTGTATGGTGCAAGAGAGTGGTCCAGTTTCATTCTTCTGCATGTGGATGTCCAATTTTCCCAGCACCATTTATTGAAGAGACTGTCTTTCTTCCAGTGGATCGTCTTTCCTCCTTTGTCGAATATTAGTTGACCATAAAGTTCAGGGTCCATTTCTGGGTTCTCTATTCTGTTCCATTGGTCTATGTGTCTGTTTTTGTGCCAGTACCACACTGCCTTGATGAACACAGCTTTGTAGTACAACCTGAAATCTGGCATTGCGATGCCCCCAGATATGGTTTTCTTTTTTTAAAATTCCCCTGGCTGTTTGGGGTCTTTTCTGATTCCACACAAATCTTAAAATAATTTGTTCTAAGTCTCTGAAGAAAGTCCATGGTATTTTGATAGGGATTGCATTAAACGTGTAAATTGCCCTGGGTAACATTGACATTTTCACAATATTAATTCTGCCAATCCATGAGCATGGAATATTTTTCCATCTCTTTGTGTCTTCCTCAATTTCTTTCAGAAGTGTTCTGTAGTTTTTAGGGTATATTTTGAGAACCATTTGAATGGTAAATGGTTCTCCAACCTTTTATTTTCAGGTTGTAGGTGTCCTTCTGTCTAAAATGAGTCTCTTGTAGACAGCAAATAGATGGGTCCTGTTTTTTTATCCAGTCTGAAACTCTGCGCCTTTTGATGGGGTCATTAAGCCCATTCACGTTCAGAGTTACTTGAACTTCTTCTTAAAGGGGAGTTTTAAGAGTCCCCCTTAAAATTTCTTGCAGAGCTGGTTTGGAGGTCACATATTCTTTCAGTTCCTGCCTGTCTTGGAAGCTCTTTATCTCTCCTTCCATTTTGAATGAGAGCCTTGCTGGATAAAGTATTCTTGGTTGCATGTTCTTCTCATTTAGGACCCTGAATATATCCTGCCAGCCCTTTCTGGCCTGCCACGTCTCTGTGGAGAGGTCTGCTGTTACCCTAATATTCCTCCCCATGAAAGTCAGGGACTTCTTGTCTCTTGCTGCTTTAAGGATCTTCTCTTTATCTTTGGAATTTGCAAGCTTCACTATTAGATGTCGAGGTGTTGAACGGTTTTTATTGATTTTAGGGGGGGATCTCTCTATTTCCTGGATCTGAATGCCTGTTTCCCTTCCCAGATTGGGAAAGTTTTCAGCTAGGATTTGTTCAAATACATATTCTGGCCCTCTGTCCCTTTCGGCGCCCTCGGGAACCCCAATTAAACGTAGGTTTTTCTGCCTCAGGCTGTCGTTTATTTGCCTTAATCTGTCTTCATGGTCCTTCAATTGTTTATCTCTTTTTTCCTCAGTTTCCCTCTTTGCCATTAACTTGTCTTCTATGTCACTCACTCGTTCTTCCACCTGGTTAACCCTCGTCGTTAGGACTTCTAGTTTGGATTGCATCTCATTCAATTGATTTTTAATTTCTGCCTGATTGGATCTAAATTCTGCAGTCATGAAGTCTCGTGAGGCCTTAATGCTTTTTTCTAGAGCCACCAGTAGCTGTAGAATAGTGCTTCTGAATTGGCTTTCTGACATTGAAGTGTAATCCAGATTTTGTAACTCTGTGGGAGAGAGGGCTGTTTCTGATTCTTTCTTTTGAGTTGAGGTTTTCCTTCTAGTCATTTTGCTCAGTGCAGAGTGGCCAGAAACAAGTTGTATTGGAACACGGGGGAGTATCACTGGCCCCTCTAGCTGGTCTTCTGGGGGAGGGGCCTGTTGCGTTGATTTTCAGGTGTTAGCACTTGGGGGAGCTGCTCTGCCCCTGCCTGCTGCAGGGCTCAGCGGGGGTTGTTTACCCCGCCAGGCCCCAGGAGGAACAGCAGCAGTTGCTATGGCAACTCTGGAAGCCTGGATTCAGCCTCCGCAGGAACTACGGGGCTCGGGGCTCTCGGCTCTCCGTCCGCAGGGCCTGGAGGCTCCGGGGCGGGGCCGCTGATCTGCTCAGCTCGGGGCAGGAGCGTCCTCGCTGTCTCGGGCCCTCCCGGCCTCTGCCTGTCCCGGGGGAGGCCGGATCCTGGGCTGTGTCCCGGCGCCCTGTGCTCCGGGGCCTGCGCTGTGGGATTCTCGCTCCCGCCCCGCAGCCCCCTCCGCGGAGCCGCCGCCCGAGCCCCTCCGAGCTGCTCCGGTCGGTCCCGCCGTGCGCGCTGCAGCCCTTAGGGAGCTCGGAGCACTCTCCTGCGCTCGCAGGTGTCTGTTAGTGTCCCCGGGAGCCCGAGAGCATCCCCGCCCTCCTGGGTCCTGCTCCAACTCCCTGCGAGCCCCTTTCCGCCCGCCCGGGAAGGTTGGTGCAGCTCCTGCTCCTCCGGGACGGGGCTCTCCCGTCCTGGGGACACTCGCCCCGGCCTCAGCCCGGCTCCTCGCGGGGCCCCTCCCCCTCGGAGGCCTTTTGTTCCTTTATTTCTTTTTCCCCGTCTTCCTACCTTGATAGAAGCGTGAACTCTTCTCACTGTAGCATTCCAGCTGGTCTCTCTTTAAATCGCAGGCCGAATTCGTAGATTTTCAGGATGATTTGAAGGTTATCTAGGTAATTTGGTGGGGACAGGTGATTTGGGGACCCTGCTCTTCCGCCATCTTGCCCCTCCCTCTCCGCTCTTGAACATATTAAGCATAATTTTAAAAGCCCTTGTTAGCTTCACTATCTGGATCACCCATGGGTGTGTGTGTATTTGATATTTATTCATATGTTCTTGCTTTTTGTAATGTCTAGCAGTGGGCTCTCATACACCTCAGATACAATCCTCCAGACTAAGAGGGTGGAGAAAAGGGCCGTTCAGAAACATTGACTAATCAGAAAGGTTCCTTTGCCCTGCTTAGTGACTATCCTGTAGCACTTTTTGCCATGGTGATATGCCTGATGGCAGAAGTGTTTGCCAGAGTATCTGTTAAGTTTTCACTCTGACCATATTTT